TTGTAATCACAAAATGCTAGCAGGAATGTCAAAAACGTTTAGGGTGAGCAGTGTTATGGCTAAAGCTCTAATGATGCAGTCTAGATCAATGCATATAAATTCCTTCAAGTTTACATGAATACCCTTATCAGTGTCAAATCAAATATTCTTGTAATGTATAATTTGGATTCAGTGGTTCAGTTACCACCTGCAATGGGGATTCTAACATGTGAAAGAGCTCTTAATTGAATCTGACAGGGAACGGGTTGAACAGGTAAGATGTTGGTTTAGCAGCATGAACTAATGGCAAACATGTCCAATGAGCCTGCCTCTCACTGAAAGAATATGCTGGCAGGCACCAAAGCAGTAAGTATGCATTCTTAAAGACTAGAGACCTCATTAGGTCAATTATTTTCAAATTTAAGAACATTAAGAAATCAAATTTGTCATTAAAGAATGTTTAGAAATAATTTGCGGTAAACAAGGATGGTTGGTTAGGAGGTGGTCACTGAGCTACCATGTCAAAAAGAAAGTAATGATTATGTTTATGAGTTCTGATATTCAGGGGGAGCTTGTGTAGTTCTGACTCAATATTTAAGTAATTATCATGAGTTAATTTAGTGAAATTGTAATATTGCTCAGGAAATTAACTTTGGGTTGTTTTAGGCAGATATACAAAATGTTCGACTCCATGACTGCTGTAAGAGTCAACCAGGTTAGTGTGTTGGTACAAAAGATGCAGTGGCTGGTGAGGCAAAAGTGTTGCATCAGAAACAGTGATACTCCAACTGAGGATCTGATCCAGGGTGAGACTGTTACAATAGGTCTTTTCATGTACAAAGCAAATCATGCGACAAGAAATCTTACCCAAGAGGTCAGATGCAATATTTAAACAAGTACTGAAGTCACGATATACAATGTAGGGATTACCAGGTTGTAGAAGAAGCTCTCTAGCAAAGCCTGATGAAATCCTTCATCAGTATCACTATCACAGGTCTTTGTGTATTCTGTTTTGCTGATGCTTTGGTCTTGCCCTGTGCCACCCATGCTGGATTTTCTAATGATGTGACATTTGCATGTAACATTGTAACATGCATATAGTTTCTAACATTTAAGCTAAAAACAAAAGTAACATTAAAAATACAATACATACAAGTTCAAACAATGATGTTTCAATTGGTATAGCACACTAATTGTGTAGCTGGACAAAGAACCCAAAACTTGTATGACCACACTTTTTCACACTGTAATCAAGTTCTGAATGTTCCTCCTGAGCTGAGTTGTGATATCCTTTGAAAATTCAGATGTTGTGGAATTTAAATGATTGCAAACATGCAATTTTCACACATGTAACAATATCTCTGAATAGGGATACAGTCTTTTGTGTCTGGGGTCCTTTCGTATTATGGGAGGGATGTTAAGGGTCTTGTTCACCGCTTTGTCTTGCCATGGATTTAATCTTGGACTGAAAACAGAAATTTTTGATTTTTTCCCTGGCTTTTTGTGTGAAGTTGTGCTTAGCTAAAAACCTTCAGTTCATCTGTATTCTGTAACATGTATCACACAGTAAGCTAAGGTAAACAATCGTGACTTCAAGGCATGTGACTTAACACAACTGACAACTTGGATAACTTATTCTGTTACTACAGTCAGATTTTGGTGCAAAGCTTTTGTAACTAAGGTATGGGGTTAATATTGTCTTTTTAGTAAAGTGCAAAGAAATGTGGGATTGCAAACCATCAGACAAAAACTGCAACCCAAAAATATTTCTATTCCAAAATGTGAAAAAAAGCTACAATGTGAAATACAAAGAAATGTGATTTGCATCCAAAATAACAGATTCAGTGTGACTGTGTTGTCGGCCTTTTTGTTTGTGTTTCTTATTTTTGGTTTTCTATTTATAGATTTCTAAAAGTTTAAATTTTAAATGGCTTCCGCTGCCAGTTTTCATTACATATTTATGAAACTTCATTGCTGGATGTGGACAGCCCTATAACATTTATCCAATTACTGTAAAGATCAAGCTCAGAAACTCCCTCTTAGTTTCACAATATGTTACCAGTACCACTGTACTCTAACATGAGAGTGAGTGCCAGATTTACTAAGCCTTTTGTGTCTTACCTAAGATGTTTGGATTACAATCGATTTTCAGCTATTCAATTAGCTTGGTTAGAGATGAAGAAAAGAGGACGGGAGCCCAATATCTGTTGTTCAATTTCTGTTGATTCATGGAGGACAAGAACAAAACAGACAACCACTGCCATGCAGCTTAGTCAGAAAATGAACTTGAACATTGTTCCTGGATGTAGACTTTTACCTTTATTTTTTGTACTAGCTTAGAAGCTAGTGCAAACAGCCAAGGACATTTCAGTATGCGAGGTAGTTATTTGAACTGCTGCTTCACTTCTATTGTATTTAAATCAAATTATCTTAAAAGCTTTCCCTTAGTTTCCTTTTGTAAAACCTATCATTTTAGTTTGAATCACAGCTTGGGACGACAGAACCATTTTCTTTGAAAAGAAAGCAGCCCTGGGGATTTAAGCAATCATTTATTCCCATCAAATCAAATGCTTCCCCCTATAATATTATGTTCATTCTTCCTTTGCTCTAAGGGCAATGTTTATACATTCTTACACTTATCAACCAAAAATGTTGCAGTGCAGATGTACAGAAAATGATGTTAATCTCTTTGTGCACTGCACAATATGTTAAACTATAGTGTAATACAAATGTTAAAAATTTATCATTAGATTTTGCATTTCTTCCAATATGTCCTGTCGGCAATATTTTATGTAAAATTGAACAACTTGACATACATTGTAACAAGTGGTAATCATAGATTCCTAAATGCATTCTGAGTGTTTCATGTATACTTGTTTTTGTTGTAGTTAAACTGCCATGACAGGGGAGTGTACAGGTGGCACACCATGGCACAAACCTACAGGTTCAATTCCTGGCAGAGGTTCCTTTGGCTTGACCTGGCGTTTCTACCAACACAGCTGGCAGAGTTGACAGGTGGGAAGCCAGTGAGAGAGCATGTCCAGGTTTTTGCATTGGGAGCTCTGGGTGACGGTTGAGACCAAAACATATAAAAATGCAGGAATGTTGACAAAATGACAGAGGTTAAGGCAAAGAAGCTGACACACACGACTCCAAAATCTGCTTTGACAACATTATGATAGTCTGAGCAGGAAAGGGAACCTGGTAGCTTGCAGCTATTTGTTTGTAATTGTAAAAACTGTATCAAAGTGTCTTTTCTAAAACGTTTTAATTTCTGCAAGTCATACACATCAGGGTTAACCAAATTAATTGATCAATTAACCATTGCATTTTCACTGGTGTAGTCTAGAAAACAGTCAGCATATAGAAAGACTGGCAGAGTTAATGGAGTTCGCCTGTGGTGCATGGAAGAAAAGACTGCTGCCACTTTAATCATTACATGTGTAATTATCTTACTTTCTGACCACTGAATGAAAGGAAATGGAGGGTATATCTTAGTCCCTGACTTGAAAAGTACATTCATATATTTAAGTGTGTTTCAATGTGTCATTGCACATTAGGGTTCATTAAATTGTGACTATATGAAACTATAGGGTATGTGATGACGCTGTGTATCAAGTAGACTACAGCATAGGAGCTACACAATGTTAAAACTGACTCCATGTACTTAAGTTTTTGTCTTGGCAACATCCAAATGACACACAGGACATTTACTTATTTCTGTGATACATCGCAATTAAATTAACACACTTATAATAGGTCTAAATCCAAATCATCATCATGTGAATCATGCGTGAGCACTAACAAACATCTTAAATGGCATAGTGGTATAGTGGTAGACATTGTTGTTGACAACAGTGCATATGATAGCAGTGGCTTTAATCTAATTTCTGTTTTAACATTTATTAATTAGGGCAACACATTGCGGCATTCATATTAAGCATGTTAAAAGGTACAAACAGTAGCATATGCAATGTTTAATATAGTACCGTAATAGTATAACAGTACTGAAATTTGTATTAGTAATTATTGGTAATTGTACTAATAATTGTGAATGTGTGCAGTAGGGCCCACTGTGGCTTTTATCAAACTAGAATGTACAGAAAACCTGTGCTGTCACCTGAGTATTAAAGCTTCAATGTTGAGCTGATGCAGTTTCAAAACAGACACTTCATAGCAGATTTATAATCACTAGATAGTCTTGTGTCTCCTCACTGAAGCCTTCTGCAGAAAGCCTCTTGTCTCTTCTCTCCTCTGAGCATCATTAAAAGAACTGAGATGTTTTTGATGATCCATAAAACACTTGAAATATACATAAGCATTTGATTTTTGTTTTTACAATAGGCTATATGTCAAGTTGGTACATTTTTCATAACCTGGCCACCAAAATCATAATATAACACTTCAGCAGTATTCTGACATCACCCTGCAAACCCTTCAAGCTGTTGCTGCAGCTGCCAGGTCGCTTACATATCCCTCACATGTCATCATGGGGGAGTATTTTATTGTATACATGTTAAAGACTGAGAACAGTTCTGCTGTGATGCTTGTCCCAGCACCACCTTTAGCTATCAGACTTGCTGCAAAAACAAAAGCAGGGCATGATTAACTGAATGACTAGATGGACAGAACTGTATGATAGAGAAATAAATACAGAATCTGGTGGTGATGGGTGCCACTACCTTATTGGATGTGAATTTTTGAGCACAACTATTATATCTTTTCCTGTATTCAGCAATCAGTAAAGTGTAAAGCCACAGAAAGAACTGGTTGGCCAAGAAATAAATCTTTGTTATCAGCAAGCTTCAGAGATAGGATAATGCTCATGCTGAGAATCTTCTATAGAACTAAAGGCTGTAGTCAAGAGTATTTTGGCAATGCTTTGACAATGCCAGTATACTAAAATTAGCTGGCTCTTAGGATTTGGTAAATACTCTACATAGATGTACTGCATTGTTGTGTGCGAATGACTAATAAGTTTCTATAAAGGGAAATGGTACAAACAAGCCTTGCTCTTCTTATTAAATATAGCCTTTTAATGAGAAATAGATTATTATATGAAACATTCATTTGAAATAAGCTGATATAATGATCTCAACAGAACAGCAAAAAAGTACATAGGCAAGGTATTAGGTGTAAAAATCTTCAGACATATCCATGAATACATGTAAGCAACACTGTGGTAGAGCGTAAATGTGCTTGTTTTATGGACCTTGCAGTGCCTCAAAACTAAATTGTAATGTACAGTATGTTATGACAATATAAAAACAGTCATAAATTGTCATAAATCTAATCGGATACATAGGATATGGGTGCCCTGTACTTTGTGCCAATGTACTCAAATGGAGGGCTTTAACGTAATCTCTGTATTCCCTTTCAATACTGTTATATTTTATTTATAATATTGTTACTGTAACATAGTTAATATTTACAAATATATTGTACAACAGGGGACAAAAAATATCCACCATTACTTCAAGTCATCCTTTATCTGTCTGGTGGTTGAAATCCCCACATGCACAAACCTCCTTGAAGGCGTAGTTCTCAGGAGGAGATGAAAAGTGTATATTGGATCAACATTTATGGTTGTAAATTCTGAAGCTAATTCAGTGTCACTCTTCTGTGTAACATCTAAAGGTTGTCTCCAGCTCTAAATGTGTTAAAGGGATAGATAACAGGCACTTAATAATAATAATAATAATAATAACAACAATAATAATAATAATGTAAAAATCCATTTGGATAGTCCAATGTTGATGCTGAACAATCAGGTGTACTATTAACTTATTTTACTTTATTTATTGATTACAGGCTTGTGGTCATCTCAGGCATGTTATGATTGGCTTCAGTATGTCAAAATTAGCTCTACATCAGCTTAAAAGTATCTACTAGGAGATACTGTTAGCATGCAAATGTTGCAACGGTAATGCTATGGATGCTAACGTATTTGCAAAAAGTCTACCATGTTAACATTAGCATACTAATAAGCTCAAATTCATAACTGAGCCTGATAAAACTAGTGCAATACCACTGCGCTCTGAGACAGCTAGCTGTAACCAAACCCAAGCAGATGCACTGGTCACAATACAGTGCATTTTACTGATATCCACCAGTCCAGATGGCCTCTCTCATCTTGTTGCTGCTGCTTAGGTTGAGGCAGGGCTGTGCAAATTGGAAACAATAGCACTGCAGAGGTATCTGCTCATTCACTAGAAGCACATTTTACAGATGTTGAGCTATTAACTTAACAAACAGATAGACTTTGACAACACAGGGCTGAGCCTGACAACCTGGGCCTTAGATGAACTGGTTACCACACATGCCCAAACCCAAACACGGGGAAATCAGTTAATTATTTTACAGACTACTGAATCCTAGGCCTAACCCACCTGAAACTGATTAGAATTGAAGTTGTTATTTATAAAGCAACTCTCAAGCGGTGAAAGTGCTTCACAACAAGACTGACGACAGTAATATAAAACAATAGGATAATCATCATCACACAAAGCCAGACATGATTCTTTTAGCCTACACTTTGACAAGAATGCACATCTAGAGACAACTATTAAAGTTGTGATTGTGGATGCAGTAAAATCTGCAGATGACAAAACTACAGTATGTCCATTAGAATCTGAAACAGGTTTTGTTCCGGGCCTGCTGCTATCTCTTACTTAAATCATTGCCCCGATTTTGACCACTGTTTTCAAGAGGTGTTGGATTGGGTGAGGGTTTACAAACCCAGTTTCATTGTTGTTCCAGCCCACATTTATGTCACACCTCACCATGGTTGTTCCCAGATATATTACTATACATACCTCTGCTTACAACTGACCCCACAAGACTAGTCTCATCACAATGTAAAATAATTATTTAAAACAACACCAAATTAAAGCAATGTCACTATAACTACATCAACAGAACAGACATAAAAAACAATAAAACTGAAATAGAAAGGTTTTTGAGATATTATCCTAAAAGCTTGCAACTTGATGGACAGCTTTTAAGGTAGGATGAAGGTTTTTCTAGAGTTTGGGTGTCATGGCAGCAAATATAAAGTCTCCTCTTGTTAAAGTTCAAACCCATGGCCAGAACTGCTAGGTTGTATGACTTTGCCTTTCTTGTTGTGTAACAAACATGCAGATAATGGACAAAAAGTCATCAGCAATGGTAATGTTTCAGCATCGGAATACCCAAATAAAGTGTGTCAACAACAATACATAGGTTGTGTTTCATATTCTAGTTTGATGATGAGAGCGTTAAACAAAGTTGCAGCTCTGTTGATGTTTCCAACAGCATGCAAAACAAGGTGAAATTTCATATCTGGAAAGAAAAACAGAAATCTTTACATATGGTCATAAATCGCTTACAGATTAAACACTGCCAAAAAAGATATTTTAAGCTTTAATATAACCATTTCTTTTTTCTTTTTTTTTCCTGTGGCACAACAGAGAAATTCAATGGCTTTACAACACGATTCTTATCCAACATAAGATGCCTTCTCTTGTCATCTGTCTTTTTGCTGTGCTCTTATCTTAAAACTGAGAGAATAAAATAAAAACATACAAATGGAACATTTCTTTTCATGTTATGAAGTACTTTGTGAAACGGGGATGGACTTTATGTCTTACTGTATGTCTACCTCAGGGAAGTGTATGGCTTTAAGTTGTCTCGCAAATGTGCCTGAATGATGAATGTTTACATTTTGCTCTTGGTGCTGAAAAGCTCCACAAATCAGCAGTCACAACATGTACATTTTGCAAAGCTGTACAAAATAGCATTGATTGTTAAATCTTCAGACCACAATATTGCACTCACGCACCAGGAGGTACTGCCTTGTGAAAACACAGCTTGAATTTCAAACACGAGAAGAAGCGCTCCAAATGCAAGATTTAGCTTAGACTGGAGAGTCGATCTCAAATGACACATTCAATTAACAAACAGCAATAAGCATCAAGCCAAAAAAAAGGTATATGCACACTTGCGCACGCGCACATACACACACATTCACCCACATATATATGTATATATAAACAGCTGGCTTTTGTTATTTGACATGACTATCCATTTCTGCCCTGCTGTGTGCCTTATGTGTCAGAACAATGATAGAGTGCCTCATAACTCACAAAGAGCAATGCAGATTCGCTGTGGGTTTGAAATGTAATAAAGAGTCTATAAGTAATGTGTTGACTACTTACTCACTAGGGCTATTTAATCCTTACAATGTATAAACATTTTTAATATTAAACTGTCCATTATGTCTGAAATATTTTGCACATTAGCTGAAATTAAAGGATATCTGGTCTGCCCTTGTGTTATGTCAGTATTCCTTTAAAAATGTTTTTCTCAGTAAAGAATGGCAGTTTCAGATATAACCTTTTGATCCCTCAGAGTAAAATCAAGGCCTCTTTTTCACCAGTACATAGATGTAATGTTTCTTTTTTTCTCTCTTTCTTTTAAGTTCTTTTAGGGAATGACAGACATGCTGGGACAAATATGGTACAGTCCTTATAGTGGTTCCATTAATCTTCTTTATCTGCCTGAAATTCTTTTCATCACTGCCTTTTCCTTTTTCTCTTTAAGAATTATGCTTACAAAGTTAATATTACATCAAAAGGCAGAAAAGGTCCAAAAATGAAAAAGAGAAAATCAAATTAAGATTAATGTCCCCTCATAGTTCATTTGTTGGGTGTTTCTGTTTGCTGTCCTTATGTTAATGTTACTATGTTCAACAGAGTTTAGCAGTCAGGTGATCTGATTGTTTTAGTATCTCTGTGCTGTACATGTCCAAGGCATGATTTACTCGAATCATCTCGCTGTTGTTGAGTTTAAGCCTATGCTTTAGCATACACGAGAAGAGGTCCAGCTGGGGTTTGCCAGGTGCTGATGGAGGGGCAAGGCGGTTAATCCGATCCCTAATGTCCAGTAACAGGAGCATAACAGATGAGGATGAGTAGAACTGAGTTCCCTGTGTGTAAGACTGGTTAACCTGCTGCACAGCACTACGGAGCAGATCGCCATTAAAGCGCAGGCTATAGCCGAATACTTGGATATCAGATATTTTTATGTAGATCTGGCGCTTGTTAGGGTCTGCAAGATCCACTGGACCCTGTCCTGTGTCATTGCGTAGGCCAGTTGGGATCTTAGCACGGCTACGCAGGTAGATGTGCACCGTCTCAAAGAAGGTCTTCCACCGGTTGCCCAGGAGGAGAGTCCAGTTGAAGCACTGGGAATTCTGCAGTCGTACTTTTTCCCAGCGTGGGTAGCCATGTTCACCAAAAGGCATACTCCAGCCTTCTGAGTGGCTACCACTGAATGGGTTGACATAGACAAAGAACATGGGGTCAATGCTGCTATTTCGCATCTGGCAGATCTTCATTGATAGACCGATTATCATGTGGAGGTAGTCCATCCGGTTTTTGTTACTTTTAAGAGTCAGGGACATGCGTTTACGCCATCGAGGATCGAAGAAGGTCTCTAGTCGAATCTCATTACTGATGAAAGTAGTGTGAATGTACAGTCGCGAATCCATTTTTTGTAACAGGTATTTGAGTTCCAGGTCCTGAAAGTCCAAATCAGTTTCAAAGCTGATGAACTGCTCGCTACGTTCTGAGTCTACATTCTGAGGCTCACAGCGACCACGGTACAACTTGTAGCCCTTGTTGCAGGAGCCACATTGTGAGATGTTGGCCAGGCTGCACATGGCACAGCTGTTGTTGCCACCTATGACACATGGAATGGGTCGCTGACATAGGGTGACACCAGTATGGCACACGCATGTCCTTTGGCTCTCCAGGAAGGTCCCCCAGAACCCATTCTCATTGCAGTAGAGGAAAGACTGAACCCTGTTGAGCCACTGCATCACAGACCTAGAGAGAGAGGAAAATCAGGAAAGAAGAATTAATGATCAGATGGAAAGTTCAAAGCTTTATCATATCAGCACTATTTTTAGCCCATTTACTCCAAGTTGTGTATGCAATATATTACTGCTAAAAATTTCCATAGCATACTGTGACGGTTTTGTGCATTTTTACATTTTATAGGAGATTATTTGCTTTCGTCCATATTTGTACACTGTGAAAATCAACTTGCAATGCCTTGAAATTTGTTGTGAGAGGTTAGTAATTATATTAAGTTAAATTTTAATTGTGTGGTAATACACTTGCAAACTTTGGAAAACTATTCAAAGTATTTGAAATGAAACAGTAATATTAATTAACTGACAAAAATAAAACCCATCATTAAGTTACCCAACGCCAGGAATCCACTGACTCCGGCACGTTATGCCACGGTTTTGATGAGTCCTTAGCCCGGCGTCAAAGCCCACTGGAAGCGTCTCAGAAGTGTTTCAGCAGCGGATCGTGCAACCTGCCCACATTATTTACTTAATTTGTCATTTTTGTGCTAACTACTATCTTCTTCACAGCTCTATGTGGCCCCGTTTGTTCTGTCAACTGCACATCAACTGTTGCATTTCCCACAAGGAACATTTCAGAATCAGGGCATTTTGCTTGCCTGATTTTGTTGACATCTTCAGATTTTGTTGATTTGGTAATCAGTGTTTGCATTTCCATGGGCTTCAACTATGATTAAGTAGGCTACATAGTTAAATTATTTCTTTTTGTTTCTGCTTTAACTGTGTTTATTGTTGTTTAATGATCGGGAGTCTCTACAGGGTGTTTTATTTTGAAAATTCACCGGATTCTCTATGCCGTTCTGTGTCTGACTTACTGCCTGGTTCGAGCTGCTCTGTGCTGCTTGACACGGCTTGCGCCAAAAAAATAGACCTACCTATTCTCTACAGAGTGGAGCAGAGAGATGCTTCTGGGACGCTTCTGAGACGCACTGCGGACGCGTCTCGTGGACTCACAAGCACTGACTATAATGGCCGCGATTAGCTCCAGCAACCACGGCGCAGCTGTAACGCGCCGTAGCCGGGGTCAGTGGGTTTTAGCCATAAGGGTGGATAACCGTACCTATCTTGAGTAAGCTTCAAGTCTTAGCAAGTTGACTTAACCATACTGAAATGAATGGACACACAATGGCTTGAAGGAATAAAAAAAAAAACACAAAAAATCTATGAAATTCTTTGTTAAATGTTTGGCATAAATGTGTACATGAAAACCGTCTAATAAGGATAGTCAGGGAATAGGATCATTCCTTCCCTTCAAGGGGGAGGAGTTGCGTTATTTCCCTCAGGTGGAAGGCATTACTTGCTATTCTTATCTTGTCTCTTCTTTTCCCCTCAGGCATCTTTCGTTGTCATCTTGACAGTACTGGAACTTATTTTCTGAAGAGGAGGAGGTGAATTCTGAATCCTAATTTTTAGGAGGAGTGCTGGTCAAGGTTAGCTTGACATGTTAATGAACCTAAGCATTAACTTTGATGGATGACATTGCATTCTCAGCAGGCCAGAAAGCCCCAAAGCTATACCCAAAATGAGCCTAGAACGGATCACCTATAGAGGACAATTGAAGAACACTGTTTGATTCCACTAACTTGGATGGGATAAAGTGAAGGTGTGCTAACATTGCCATGATTCCAAATTCCAACACCTTTTACATATTTAGGCTTTCAAGACTTGCATTTTAGGAAGTGTACACAGTAACTTGAAGAGTACATATGCAATAGCATTAGTTATTTGTCCTTTATTCCCCAACTCAAATCCCCTTTACAGGACAAAATGTCAACACATTCTGTGGTTATTAAGTAGTTGGAATTCAGTTCAGTGCAATCTGTAAATTGTTGTGCTGTAATCACTGTTTGTAATGTAAAAGTAGCTTTAATGTTGTTCAGTTGCTAATATACTCCTCAAAATCCATAGTTTTACTAGCCAATGATTCCATTTTCATCCCCTATGCATTCCATCCTCCCGTTTTCTTTGAGTGTGATGTTTGACATTGTTATCTGTAGTACTGACGGTATAGCAGAGGTTGTCGGAATAAATGTGAGTACAGAAGAAAAACTTCTCAGGACTAATTGGTCTCTTTTATTTTTGCAAGTAAGAGGGGCTCGTCGATTACTCTCTCTTGAAATTATGAGCTTTCAGGACAAGCAATTCCATTTTTTTGTGTTTACAATAAATATTCACACACATTTCCCCATTCATATCATACAAGATAGATGGAGTGTTTTATTTACCTTTAAGAATTTTGCGTGTATAACAATTGCTCATCAGCATACAGTCAGACTTTGCGTGTTTTTTTCAGGAGTGACATTGCATTAATGGAGATTGCAAGTAGCTCAATGGCAAGCATTATTAGGAAAGAAGATAACCCTATGTGGGAAAACAGCAGGGAAGTGATGAGAACTGATGCCAATAAGCTGAAGAATGCTAGTGGGCAGAGACTAACTCTAAAAAATGAATAAATGTAAGAGCTTCTCCAAAGACAAATTAACAAAGACAAAAACAAGTGTGCTATGACAGTACCTGATTTTCATATATTTTTTTATATATTAAAGCTAGGGTAGGCAATTTATTGCAGGAGCATTATTTGTTATATTTAACAAAATTATCTTTATGTTCCAACAGCAATCAATAAATCAAATGCTCTGACACAAAAAGGAAAATACATCTGCTATCTGTGGCTGTCACACGGCCAACCATTTCATTCAGGCGTGTCTGCCTGTCTACTTTCCCACTTGTGCGCACTCTGCCTGTGCACTAACTACACTTACAGTGGCTTTGAAGAAAGGGCTGAAGAGAGGGGGTGGGATTTCATTGCAGTTGGATACTTTCACAATCTAGCAGTCTCCTGCTAGTTTTCAAATGTTGCATTCCATTGATGTTGTACTATGTAAAACCTGTCTTATTCAGAGTAATAACCCAAAGAAGCAGTAGGGGGTTAAGCCAGTATCTTGTTATCACCATCAGGTGAGCTTACTTGCCTGTGCAATTCTGAGAAAGGGCTTATCATATGGAGGAGACACCTGCATGACAGATAGTTGGGTCAACACCAGAATATCAAATGCCACATTAAAAACATAAAGTAGAATACAAGATATCTAATTAATTAAGTCTTAGAAAATGCTGGTATACAGTGTTGCATATTATGTATAGTTACAAGCTGTATGAAAGCCTTTTAATGTTTGTCAATTAACAAACAAAAAATGATGAATCCATGATGGGTTCTGGAGAATATGCCTTCATATGACAGGATTTAAAAGCATTAGTTATCTCTTATAGATTCAAGGTAATCTGAATATTGTAGCCACTCCCTTAATATTGTGCTTGAATTTTTCTAACTTTCTCACTGACAAAAATCATGTTTTGCATTAGTCAGAAGGTCAGAGTAGATTGCATCCAGTCTGGCGAGGATGTATTTTCTTTATATTAAAGGAGACCTATTATGCTTTTCCACATTTTATGACTTATCTACAATGTTACAATGTTGGATGTTCATGTTAAACCTGGCCAAAGCTTCAAATAATGAGGTTAAAGTATTTAAAAGAAATCCCTCCTAGCAAAAACTTCAGATTTCCTCCTGTTATGAGCGCTCTGTTTTGAACTGCTTTTTCTACCAATGGCTCTGTTCTACTACATACCGAGCTAGACAGAGCAAGTGTTCCATATATGGTCATTTGCTCCGCACAGCAACGGCACAGCAATGCTCAGTCTGTCCTTACCACTCAGCGACAACAACAGCCTGGTAAAATCCTTCATCACCGTCTTAAACAGTCAGAAGACAGTGGGCTTTGAGAGGTTTGAGGCCTTAAAGAGACAGGCACATCTACAGCTTGTTTCAGACAGAGGCTGCCATACAGGAGTTACAGAACTACAATATAGGACTGGAAAAGCAGTATATTAGGTCTCCTTTAAACCTGGTCAAGGGGAAACTGAATAGTGTTGATCGAATTTCAGTATTTTGTCAATAAATTTGGTTTCTCTTTTCCTGTGTAATTTCTTGATTAAAGTGTTGTGTAAGATAATATCTCTCTGAATATACTGTATGCTTTGAGTGTTACTGTTACTTGTAGATTTGTGTGGTCAATATGGCTTTTAAACTACTCAGCAGGTATTTCATCTGATACAAATGATAAATAAAAAAAATTTCTGACCTGTGCATTTTCCATGTATTTAATTGTACACTAGACATGAATTCATGTGGTCTTTCCAACACTGCAACCCAGCTCATTACGTCACTCACTGATTTCCCCATTTTTTTTATTCCATTGCTGACTTGGTATATGCCATGTGTGGAGCAGCTATTTCTTGAGCTTGTTTGCTTATGTGCACTAGAGTGCTGATGTCTGCTTTTGCCTCTTCCCGAGCAATCTCCTGGTGCAGGCACTGTATTTGTGACTTTTTATCACTTTCCATTGCCTCTCTGTAGTGTTGCAGTTTAGTGTCTTGACTGGTGTATCATGTTAGCTTCCTCCAGCTTGTGTTTCACACATACTGTCATACTGTCTATTCCAGTATGGATATAAAAGGAGCTAAGAAGAGGTGTGCCAGTATACTGGTTTTATTTTTATTATACCATGGTGAAACATTCTGATGATAACACAACCAACAATTTCTATTACCTATTCTATTACTAACACTTTGATTATCACTATTTTCACACGGTGCCATGAACACAGAGTCAGATGTTGGCCAGCTAAGCAGGCTTTATGTCTGTTTAGCTTTGAGCTCTAGCTGCTCTGGCTGTTACTCGCTATGTTTAAATTAGCTAGTCGACCAGTTGACACGACTGACGCAAAGGAAACTTGCTTCAAGATGGTGCATATTACGTTCTCCCTCATAGAGCTTCACCTGTGCCAGTGTTGGCAAAATGCATGTATTTGATTCTTTCACAACTACTGTATTGACGCTCAAAAGAAATCAGAACCTGTATAAAAACATAAATGGGTGGACTTTATATATAATCTAAGATACACAGATAATATGCAATATGGTGCATTTAAAATTTTTTGCTGTATCAGAGCTCTAATAGTTGTATTTCACGGAAGTGTGATGATTATCATAATACCATGTGCCCTGATTAATTGGCCACAATAATCAGGGCACATAATTTGTATGTAATTGGATTTTGATATAAAAGATAAAACTTGCATAATCATTTAACATTATGTAACTTATTTTATTGGCTATAAATTATTGCATTGGACACAGGCCCGGCCATATGCATCCCTTCTTTGAATTTATTTGCAATAACTGTTGAAATATCCATTCTGAAATACCATATAAATACTTCCCCCAATAAGCCGTTTGAGTGCATTATGCAGCTAGTTTTATTTTTGCCGTATTTGTATCCACCTAAAGCAATAGCTTGGCATAGATTTGCCATAGGAAATTAAATGAAATGCTGTTTGTTTTCAGGAATTCAGTGATTCAGTGATTGTAATGGGGCATCAAACAGCCCTGGTATTTAGATGAAATATTACTCCCTCCTACGTTGGAGCAAGGTAAAGAAAATAGAGAAAGAGAACATCTGAGCAGTAGAATAAAATCAAAGAAAACCGAAGAAGATGATGGGGCATGCAAATGAAAATGTTTTATTAACAATAGTATGAGGATATGGAGCCCCCGAAAGATCACTGGTGGGAATTTAATTTCTGAAATTCATTTATGTTCCCTCCCAATAAATTTTACATTCCCTCGCATTAAGTTTTGCATTCCCTTGCAATATTTTGCATTACCTCTCAATACGTATTGCATTGCCTCTGATCCACAGAGAAAGGCTGAGAAAGCTAATCCTGAACTCATGTATGGCTTAACAATGCTCTCTTGGCTAATGTTAATAGGAGCAATAAAGAGTCATAGTCACACTACAGCTACCATAGCACCATGGATACAACTATAAATGCAGCCATAGTCTGGGTAATAACAATATCAACAGCCACAGCTTCAACCACCTCAGCTGGGCAGAGCACCTGCAGCTGTGCTCACTGCCACAGGCTGTATACTGTCAGGGCTTGGCCTTTTGAAAGGTGTAATGTACAATAAATGTCAATACATTTATTATATTTATTAATAAATATAAAAAAAATTATTTTTTTTTAAATACAATTAATTAATTTATTAAATTTATTATATTAAAATTATTATAAAATATCAACTGTGACCTTATCTGCTGAGAGAGAAATGTCGTTGATGAGTTCATAAGACAGGATATCTGCTTATAATACTAAATACAAAAATTTGGACAGGATATGTTTAATCCAAAACTGTTGGAAATTTCAGTGTCATTTCAAAATCAATAGAAATTAGTGCAAAGTTTTTCATCATATAGAGGGTAAATTTATATTTGTAAATATGTTTGACTCTGAACATGAATAATTAAAGCCAATGCATTGCCTGGATGCAAATGATTTGGCTGGGAGTGATGCTACTTTATATCTGTCACTATTAATCATTTATACCAAAGACAAACTGCTATGTTTATTCTACTTGAAGCAAGCTGCTATACTCATTACAGGAAATGCAATAGCAAATTCAATATAGTTCAGCTATAAAGTTTCCACACAGTTACGGCATTGAGTGTTCACAACAGGAATTTACAGTGCCTGTAATGAACAAATGCCTTGTGGTGAGGTAAACCTAGAAAAATGATACGGTGGTGATATGCATTTGTAATTATGGCCAGCCAACAATCCATCTGACACCTGTCTTTCATTAGCTGATAAATGTGTTTACTGACTGACCTTATTAAAAATTCATTGGCGAAGGGGCAACTTGATTTAAAACTTTTAATATTTTTTGAAAAGCTATCATAATAATTGCAATTAGTAAAGAGTAACTTCCCCATCCCTTGTTGTTCATCCATAATTTAATTAAACTAAAAGCGTGCTAGGACCGGCATTATATGGATGCTATAAGGCCTCAGGTAAGAATTATGAGATACAATGAAACTAAAGAGGAGGTGGTTCGTTAAGAATGCATCACTCTACTGCGCTGTAGTGTCAGTCAATCCATCATCACTCAATCCATATTACAGTACCTCTATCTGTACCTCTATTTTTAAGTTAGCTATGAATATACTGTACATTTACTCATTAACAATTGAAACCACAGTGCAGGCATGATTAACATGGTTTATCAGGCAGCTAGTAGGTCACTCAGGTGAAATACATTATACATGGAAAGATTTACTTTACTGAGTCCACAACAAGCTTTCTTAACTATGTTTCCAAGGCAACAGAGCATCGCAAAGCTTTTTATCTTATTTTTCCAACCTTTCCAACACAATGCCAACGACAGTGTTAGCCACCTGCTGTGCCATGGTACAGCCACAGGCTTTTTAAAAAGTATGAAGCACCAAAGTCCTTTCTTTGTGTTGCATATCCGTATTTGTAGTCCAAATTCTGATGCTGCAGTTTTCTTATTAGTGTTAATAAACTTGGTAATTTCACCAATTACAGTGCACTGAAGACCCACTGTGTTTTTCCACTTGTTGATCTGACACAGCGTTGCATAGTGTCAAATAATTCCGTGTCAACGGAATAATCTGGGATCTAAGCAACCACTGTGGCTTCCACATGCATAGCTCAGGGAGATTCTCCCAGTAGAGGAGCCTGGGTGATGTTAAAATCACTGGCAAAGTCAATGAACAGGATTCTTACAGTGCCTCTACAAATGGGAGTATGCACAGAGTAGCAGGTGGATGACAGCATCATCCTCCCCATTGTGGGCTTGATGTATGAACTGGAGGGGATCTAAACAGTCTCTCAGAAGGGATCTGGCCTGCTGTCATTTAGAACCCTGGTGTGCCTATTCTTGGCCACTGGGAGAAGCCAAGATGTTTTTCACATCATCATCAGCACCCTCTGCAATCTCACTGACAGGTTGAAGATGTGCTGGAAGGCCTCCCCAAGGTGGCTGGCACACACCTTGAAAACACTTGGGCTGATGCTTTATGGGCCTTCAGCTTTGCCTCAATTCCCTCATCCTCTGATCAGCTGTTAAAGGCTGCCCAGAGGAGAGGTGAGGGTTGAAGTCCCTGTGGCGATGGGGGGCACTCTTCTTGAATCAGGGACGAAAGGAAGAGACAGGTAGATCTTAATGGGACTATGCTGACTATACAAATGCACAGGCCAAACTCACAAATATGTGATAAAAACATAGCCTTTTAACATACAATCGATTAATATTTAGTGCAGTTAACTAGTGATAAAATAATTTAGTATAACTGTAACATAATTTTATAGTTTTCATTAGACATTAACATACAAGGAAATAGGGAGTTGAGACTTCTGCAAAAATTTATTTAGTTTTATTTTGTCCCAACTAATATGTAAACATAAGACTATGGCATAGTTAGAACCCCTGTGAAAGCAATAGACCACTTATGCCCCACTCACGCATGTATGCAAAGCACACATAGCGGTGATGAAAACAAATAAGTCCTCCATATGATGCAAAGTTGTCTCACACAAGCAAGCAAATAAACACGCTGCTCTTATTTCCAGTGCCATCGAGCACCCTTGATGCGTACTCCATGGAAGAGGAAGCGCATACTGCGGCTCTTTGATAACACTTCAGAACAAACCTTTGGCAACTCTCACACACAAATGTGGGTGTGCTCCTTTTCTGTCAGAGACAGTTGACAACTGTTCAATTTCAGGCCACTTAAATGAATATTTTACAGATTCTGTTTCCATTTACATGGTTTTATCCGCTACAAAGAACAGTTTTAGGGGTGTTTTATGTGGCAGCCGGAAACTTTGCATATTTTGCATTGTGTTTTCTGATATTTGCTAGAGCAGATGGGGAAATTCCTGGCATTTCAGGCATTGCTGACACCGTGGCACATCCGCAGCAAGGCTCTTAAGCTGCAACTGCAGTACGTGGTGACAGATGTGTGCAATGACCTATCAAGAAAACTCCCACAGCTACATTTTCTTTTCAGACTGCAATGTGAAATGTAAGAGTGAGCAAGAGTGCTTTGGGCATGTGCAAGCCTCAGCACTAAGTTGACTTGATGGACAGAAACAACAGAACCATAAGCTGAGATATATAATGGATGACATCCTTACAGCGCATGCTTCAAGAAGCAACAATCAAAATAAAACCCCTACATCAGACAGATTCATTTTCCTGAAAGATGTCACTACTCTGTGGGATACATTCTCCATCAATTGGAAAAGAAAATCCGAAAATATCAATACCGAAAAACAGCACGTTTGTTTTATGTTGCTTAGTAACACCACACTTAATTTCCATCATGATGTGGAGGTCATATTTCTACCCACCTCTCCCTAGGCATCTGGTGGTTTGGGTTGTGGTGACAACGGATGCTGAGGCCAAAGAGCTTGCGGGCGGTGCGCTGGATCTTGAGCCGCTGGATCTCCAGGGAACTCTGAAGGAGCCTGTAGCGGGCCTGAAGGTCCCAGTCGCTGCCCCACAGTAGATGCACACTGCTGATAGGAAGGAAGTGAGTGGAGGGCAGCCTCTTCAGGAAGGACTTGAACTCATCTGGATGACAGGGAAGTAAGGAGAGGAGAGAGAATGTGGCGGTGTCACAGAAAAATGGTGTGGAATTATTTTACTGACTTGTATGCTTAGAAGGAGCTGAATCAGGGAGAAGGGGTGATAAAGTAAAATGTATAGTTGCCTTTTCCATTTGAGGATGTAATAATTAAAGGAGAGCAGTTTACATTTACTCTCAAACTTTTAAGCAAGTAATTTACACAGGTGAGCAGCCGATAATCTTATCTGTGAAACATGCCGTGTTGATGGTGTGTGGGTTTACGTTCCAAAACAATCGACTCATTTATTTGTTCAACCCTAATCTAGCTGGAACTTCCTAGGTAGAATTAAAAACAAGCAAGCATCAGGCTGTTTGCAGGACTCATACAAGTGAGTGACAAAACTCTTGTTGTACTTCTTTGGTAATGTAGGGTTTTATTCTTTCTGTAAGTTGTTGACGGTTTACTGTAATAAAGAGCAATGCAACAGTATTAATCTATTTTAAATATTGTACAGCAATGCTGTAGCTTGGGCATTTAACAGAGCACGAAACAAAACTTCCTTTCAGTATATCAGAATGAACTTTTGAAATGAAATGAAATGAGTACTTTCTGTATTGTAGCGTTCATGTATGTTGTCACTCTATAATAATAATAATAATAATAATAATACCCTCAGTGCAGTAAACACCCTGTTATTCTGTGCTCCCACACACTTACTGAAGAGCACTGCCCCAACAAATCTGTTCCCACCTTTGGTGATGATTGCCCTTATGTTCCTCTTGCTGCCTCTGATGATTCTTGCTTGTCTCTTCCTCTGACCCTTGTGCCCAGCTCTCTGATTCTTGTTTTTAACACAAGCTCTAGTTTTTAACAACAATGGGCATGAAGATGTTACTAAAACTCCAGGAGCAAATACACAAGGACAAGGAATCTTTCATTTGGTGTGCTAATTAAGCAAATATTGAGTCAAATGACTCAAGAGTAGCTCATTATTATCTCTGATAAATTTAAGCAAATTATTATAGATAATAGAGTGAACAATTTAATGCCAGAAAATTCTCATTAGCTATGTCAGCAGGTAAGTTGCAAAGTAAAAGTAGCCTGACACAAAGATAGCCGACTCTATATTGGATTCACATTTAATTTTTACAGAGTCATTGTTTAGATGATACAAAGGTACACGCAATCAAATGCCCCTAATGTATAAAACCCCGGTGCAACTATATTTGTTGTGGCGGAAAAGATAACACAAATATTCTTGGAGAGAACAAAATGCTTCTCCACACAGAACCGATTCCCATTTTCAAGACATGCAAAGACCTGTACAGTAAGCCAGTACCCTCCCACAGACCTCTCCAAGGCAGTTTAACAGCATTAACCACAGAGTTGAAAGCTCTTTTTCAGCAACAGCAGAGAAATGTCAAAATTTCCTCCACTCTCCTCCCAGGCATGTCAGAGCTCCCTTCCCCCTTTCTTCAAAGAGGCCAGATTCTTTCTCCTCCCCTGTTTTGAACTTGCCATATTCCTCCACCCAGTTTTCAGAGATGTCAGATACCTCCCTTGCTCTTTTCCTAGAAAAGCTGGGTATCTCCAGCACCCAATATTCAAAATTGTCTGATTCCCTCATCAAAAAGAAATCCAGTATAAAGTTAATCCCTCATGTCAGTTCAACAGTTGCCAAGTCCTTTCACACAAGCCTCAAAGCCATCAAGGATTCCTTCCTTGATACAGCTTCCAAAGAGTCCACATAGTCCCTTGAATGACTCTTATCTCAAGTCACCCAGCATCTTATCTAGAGATTACAGCTCTCAGAGTGTAACCCTACTTGACTCTTGTGCCATTACATCTCAATTTGTTGGGTGCCAAAAATATAATCTCAAATATGTCATCATGTCTAATGTTTCCCAACACTTAGTTAACATTTAGATGTCTGTTGTAGTTGTACCAAGCAAAATGCAGCATTAAAAAAATGCACCTAACATCCAGAGAATATGAGAAAAGGTTAAGCAACCAAATCAACTCATCTAGCCAGTAGCCTTGTAGTAGCTAGTAGATGTAGGATCAAATGTATTCCAAATTTTCATTAAACCAATGTGACATCTGAACTACATCTTTTTTACAACTCTATACTTTTTTTCTCCAGAGGATCAGTCAAAATCAGTCAATAGCGCACAGTGGGGGAACATACTGTACATGCAGAACATCTACCTGACATGCTAATTGTTTGGGACAGATGCACAATGCATAGGTACAGCAATGTTGATAGTAATAAATAAATTGTCTGTGGGAGCAGTGATATGACTAATCAAATCACCTATTTTCCTTCCCTTTAAAAGTGAGAAGGTCAAAAAAGTTTCTCCCAAGAGGAAACAGGAGTCTTTGTCGAGGAACTGTGCATAATTGATATAAGCAGAAGAAAAAAACAGGAAATAGCTCATTTGCTATCTCATTTTACTTTGGCAAGAGAGGGATACTAAAAATGTGGAGGTGAGAAATAATAAACTCCTGATAAAAATTCACTTTGCAGACCCACACGACACAAGTGACATAAACTTAAAATTTCAGTTTGGTTCTTCTACAACACATTTCTTTGTAGTGATTACATTTGGTTAAAAGTATTTTTGGTTGTATTACGCTGGAAGAGATCTTCAAAGAAATTAATTTACTAGCTTGAAAATGGAACTACTCTCTGGCACAGAATGTTGAACAGCATGGCTGCCATTCAGTTAAAGCAATGACACGTGTCTAATCCGATATTTAATCACTGTATTATATGTATATACCGAAAAACTTTCTTTTATAGTACATACATATATTTATCTGTTGCAGGCAGATTTTATTGGGACACGTTTATATCATAATAATAATACATAAACATGGTACCTTGCCATGTAACAACTGGGTGCTAGCTGTACTTTTTTCCAATATTCTACCACTATCCCTTGTGTCTGCATTTGCAATGAAAAGAGATAACTTTGCATAGAAGAGAATATGACTTGCCTTGAGATTCCAGCGCTTGCCATATGAAAGTTTTGATTTTTGATTTAATTCATTCTTTATAAACAACAAATCTCATCAAACCTCATACCCAAGTAACAAAATAGGTTACTTGTTAGTGCATTCCAGGGTTGGCACATACAGATCTTTTCTGATTTATTGCCCCTAAAACACTTGGTTAAGGTTAAGGAAAGATTGTGATGGTTAAAGGAAATCGATGCTGACCATTGGTTGGAGACAGGAAGTGAACCCCAGTTTTTGGTGAATAAAAAAGTCTGCCCTCCAGTGACCTTCGCACCTTGACTTTTTGTATTTTCACACTACTTTCTGCAGTGAACATAAGAAAGCTTAATTTTCTATTAAATATGCAGATTTGGCAACAAGCAAGGACAGGCAAACCTGCCAAACTATGAAATGTGTTTTTAAATGATCTTCGGGCAAACAGAAAATGGAACGATTATTCCTGTGTGTGCCCATTCATAATCTGCATACATATCTAAATATGTCAGGAATTCAAGCCTTGCAAATAGTAAAAATACACAGCTTCATCTTAGTGCAATATTGACTACAGATTATATACTATTTTCATAATTGTAGGAGGAAATAGGAAAGGAGGAAATGTTCAGCATACCAGAATTCTCAAAGTCCTTGTAAGAGGCAGCCCAGGACTCAGACATCCCCAATAGGGTGTTCTCCATGATCTGGATGTCAGTGATGGGACAGTTGCATTGGGGATACTCCTCGGCGCACTGACAGATGCACTGGTTGTCATGGCACACGTACTCCCCCTCTCCATTGCACATAATGTAGCTCAGAGCTGACTGGACAAATTTCTCCTGCAGGTATTCTGGGAAAATGACCTGAAGACCTGAAACAGAGATGCATGGGAGATTTTAGTGAATCATGATCTGTTTTAAAATTCTCTAGTATCTAATATAAGATATGATAAATACAAGAAATAAAGAAATGTTTTAAGAAATAAAACATTGCAATCCTTGTTTAGTTTTCTTTGTGTTGGAAATCACTGAAGCATTTGGACACTAAATAAATCTGAAATATGCAGCCTTCATGTTGTTTATATCCTGAAAGTACAGGACAACAATAAGCTCTTTGTTTGTTTGTTTTTTAACAAAAGCTCACAGGACTTAATAAGAAAACAATGAGCAGAAAAAGTCATGTATCACGTTTTTCCTCGTTTTGTCATTAAATGTATACTTATGTTTAGAGTAAGAATTTAAATCAAATATAGTAAACACATATGTGAGAAAAAAAGTTCCTAGAATGGGAAAAGCGGCATTAAAATGGCTGACTGCCTTCGCAAGATTGCTTTGTGTTATGGGCACTAAAGGATGTGCTTCGACACTCAACTATGTGAAATTTGAGCTGTCTGTTCTGCTGCTGATCACTCCTGATGTGACAGTATGTTTAACAGTGATTGGTGCCTGCTCTCTTTCGCTGTGCTGGTTTATTTAGCACATCATGTGTTTCCCTTTGTGTGCTAAGTGTTACCATTTGCATTTGCTTGTGGTTTACATATCCAATTTTGCAGCACTCTGCTAATAATACTCTAATGACAATAGCTGAATTTGTAATGTAGAGGCCAATTTGAGGCTGAGGCTGAAAGTACCTCTTCACTCTCACCACTGACAAGGTATTTATAATTTTTAGACTCCAAGCCAGTCCATATCTCACCCTGGGGATCTCATACAATTGAAGCTTGGACAGCTAACAGTAAAGGCTTTCTCTTCAGTCCAGGCCCAGAAAAATAAATCCCTAGTTCTACAAGCCACTGGATTGGAAAAGAACTAAATAGATTTTTTCCTTCTTGTATGAAATAGCATCTTGGTGAGGCAATATTTTCTTAATAGGTTTTACTTGAGCACAAACAGCGCTTCAGCAGAAAATATGCAACCAGGAACCAGAACATAACATGTTATTGAATGATGAATGATTGCATTATTGTTTCCGCTCACGTATTATTTTCACCTTTGGGTGAAAACAGGAATCTGTTTATGCAAAATCATCATAATGTAGCTGAAATGAAAGGGAAAGTAAGCATATAATTTCATACTGTACACATGAATCATTTTTTCGGGGGGGTTGTCGTAGAGTCAAACGGTGTCTCTTATTATGCATGTGGCAATTAGCCACTTTCACCCACAACATACACTGAAAACTGTGGATAATTTTGAAGCAAATGCATGTGGCTCTGAAACACAGGACATCTTCAGCATCCATCTCCATGGTGACAGCCTTTGATGGAAAGTAACACATACAGTGTTTTGGTAATTCATGCAGCAATTAGTGATGCTAATAGTTGAGTTTATATTTGTACATGATCATGATATCAGTTCACGTACTCTCCTGCTCTTTATACTAAACAATCTTTCCTTGTAATGTAGACCTCTTCTTGTTTTGGATATCAGTAGGTTCCATTCTCCTCTTAACCTCATCAGAACCAACACCCATCAGTGAGGAAGGGAACAGAAGGAGGGAGGGATGGATGGAGTAAAGGGGATGCATGGATCATGTCTGACCACAAAAGAGTTGGGTTGCACAGGGCTTTTTCTCCATCAGGCCTGTCTGCGGCCCCTGGATCCAATATTCATTTAGCTTGATGTATTCCTGGGCTTGAAACTTTAATGTGATTTGTGGGAGAATCCAGATGGCAAGTTCACGGATCAACGCTGCTCACTGACAGTGCTGGTGCCAGCGGCCGGGTGCACAATAAAGCCAAGTGCCTCAGCCCTCCCCTCTTTCCCTCTTCTGTCTAAGCATACCTCATACCCCCAACTCTACCATCAATACACATACACGTTTTCTTTTTTTTATATCAATGTGTTGGTACTGGAAGATTGCAGAAGGAACCTTTTGCGAAGCTGGCATTCAGCTCAGCACTATCAGTCTTGCGATCTCTTGTTTTCCACTCTCTTCTCCTCTCAATGTTTCTGTCCCTCTCGCTCCATGCCTCTCTCTCTCTCTACCTCTTACTCCATCTCTGTACACATCTCTTCTGTCTTACTTCATTACACTTGCTCCTATACCCGCAACACTCATGCACATGCCCCTTGACTCGTCCCCCATCATCCTTTGGCTCTCATTCACACCATCAATCACTCTACTCATTCCTGTTTCTTCACCTCTTCTGCTCTCCTCTACATTGTCCTGCCGAGCACATACTCAAGTACTGGAAAGTTGATGTCTAGTCCTCCCACTCTAGTGTAGAAATGATGTCATGCAATAAAAGTAAATCCATCAACATTTGTTAGTGCAGTCGGGAATGAGTAAGAGTATTGGAGCCCTCGGGCCAAAAATGAAATGAGAAACTAATCAGAGTAAAAACATTTATCTTTGTGACTTTCCTGCTTTGCTGTGTTAGTGCAGTAACATGTGGAAACACTGAGAATGATTGGGCTATAATGCTACCATTTTTGTGGCTCTGAGGCAGGTATTTGTTAAGGGAAACACTAGATTTTGGAGGTGGGAGTTACACTTACCGCCATTAAAGAGCTGCCGATGAAATGAATAGGTGCATATTGGAATTCCCGTGCAGCCATTTGATAACCCCCAACTTCATGCTCTGTCAGTGCACATAATTCCCTGCAACCCCTATGCCTGGCTTGCTCTAAATAAAATAGCAGTTAATCTCATTGCATACATCAGAGGCTGATATATTTCCTTCACGTACGTTTGGGGATATAGGCCCACAAACATTCCATGAATGCTAAAAACGGAGACTCTGCAACTGTGACTTTACCTTTTCATTATGTCTCTTTCTAGAGCGCTCTATTTTTACATGGTGATAGATGGGGAGTGCAGGCCGCAACTGAGGCTTGTAACAGCCTTGGCAAGCATTTGCCTGCTTATTGCAATGCCACGCTCCGCCTCATAAGTTATAGTTTCATTAAAGATTAATTGACCATTGTGTGGCCGCAATTTCGCAAAATAATCATTACTTAATCCACTGGTGCAATAAAGTGCATTACTTCAATAGGGGCATTAAATTACCATTGGAGGTTATCGTTGCAGCCATGATACAAAACCAAAGACGCCTGAACTGGAAGATTGCCTGTTTCCCTTCAGTTCATGTCTACCTAGTTCCCCCTGCTGATCCCTGGATACTTAAAACAGAGGGGGTATATAGCTTTAAGATTTGCTGCGTTGGCTCACCACACAGAGCTCCTCTTCCACAACTAAGAGGTAAAGGTGCAGTTAAAGTAGCTATTTATCCACTTTCCATTCTTTACGTAAAGCGCTTTGGGTCTGACAGAGGATAACATGTTCCACTGGAGCTATTCTCAGCTCTCCGAATATGTTAGCATTTTTTGAAGTTCTCAATGAGGTGTACTTAACATTCAAATGGATAATGTGTTGCTGTGTCTGTGCTGAGTAGATTATCGTAGATTATCATAAGTGTTCTCAGCACACTCGAAGGCATCAGCCTGTGTTATCAAACAGGACTGTAGACTCGAAATTTGGTTGTACAATCTGATTTAAATATTTGTGTGGGGGAATAATTGTTTGGGAGAACTGAATCAATATTTCCATCTCAAATATATGTCCAAAGTGCAGCACAAAGAAGGTTTTTTGTGCTCCGCTTAGGTTTTTGGGATTTCTAAAGTACATTCATACTTAGACATGCATATATTCGAAACAGCAAAACAACAGAGAAGTGGCAAATCCCATTTCCTAGAACATATTAACATACAAGTGCCTGCATATGCATACATGATACGCCCCACTCTATCTGTGTGAAACAGAACGACTTGCGGAACACAATGTGTTTCACACAATATGTTTCACACAATATCTTTATATAGTGTTAGCTTGGATGAAACCCACTTATTCATATTGTTAACACAAAAAGAGCAAGGAAGGATGCAGGTGCAGTAATCACTGTAAAAGCATGAATTACATATAAAAATGGTCTTGGCATTCAGGGCTTGCTGCTCCTGCCTCCTGAAAAAAGGGAATTGCTGAAATTGCGTGTTGAAGCAATTGCTAGATTGAGAAGGGCAGGCAGTCTGGAGAGGTAAATGAGCTCTCCATGGTGCTGAGGTATTGCCAGTTGTGCTGCACACTGGACACAGACACACAAGTTGAGTTTGTATAAAAGTAAGTTAGTGATTACTTTTCATCTCCTTTTCCTGTGTGCAAGATCACAGCATGGAGAATGAAACTTTGTATTCCTTTTTTGTTTTTTAGAAACAATACCCTCACAGTGTCGATGCATGTTTAATGTAGTCATTTCTTTTTAATTAGCTAAATACTCTCACACACTGAAGATTACCGTAGCTGTGTTTCAAAACATGTGATGTGGTTGCTGTTGGCTGTTGCACTGTTCAAGCTGTTCTGACATGTGGTGCCATGTGTCCCTGCACAGCAGTCGCAGTAAGGCCTCAGCTGGTGAGATATTGTACTAGTGTCACACATTCATGTGCACCCACATACACACAGAAACGCATTGAGTCATGGACGAGCACACGTGCACACACTTTGAAGGCTATTGAGGAAATCACATGTTTTACAAGAACCCTGGAGAGGGGGAGGAGAGACGTATGACAAGCTATGACATTTCCATTTCAACTATAAAAGATACAACTGCCCTCAAAGTGTCACGATGTGCTGCATACATGTCTCAGATCAAAAGCCCAATTTTATCACAGAAATTACATCAAATATTGAAATAATACAGAAATAATTCTAATTTATTAGTATTTGGAGGCACTAATTTGTTTTATACTTTGCCAAAAATGATCGGAACTCTTGCATACATTAGTAATCCAAAACTGAGATCTAAATATTCAATCTTTAAAGAGATGTGTAGGAACATGTTATTCAAATTATCAACGCATATTGTTGTTGTTGTTGCATATGTATTACAGTTTGTGAGTAACTGTAAATCAATTATTTGCATTCATTTTTAATAATGACCTAATAACACACATTATTAAGTATTCACAGTATTACAGTATTATTAATTGTAAGTTTTTAATTACAGTGTAACACATTTATACATATGTCATAACACCCTTATTGTGCATGCATGAGTTGTACCCAACCATTAAAGGTGCTGTAACTATATTTACCTTGGCATAGATGAATATGAAGAGTTCAGTATATGGAACTGACATAACGTGAGTCTTAATCACCATTGTTTCCTCCTTCATATGTAAAGCGACCCCGGAAAAATGGGCAAATGCCAACAAACGCTAGATGTGATGTAACATCTGGGATCATTAATATTTATACCCCCCAAATTTACATATACCAGCCCACATTATAGAGATGCAGTCAAGCTCATTGAGCTAGAGCTGCGGGATGTTCAGTATGTCTCACAGAAAGTGCATTGCTTATGTCCTCTCCCTGCTCTGCCTCAAATTTGTGATTTATGAAGTTTCCTGATGAACAGATAGTTACTATCGATATTATACTCTGAACTAGTGGTCCAAAGCTTCTAAACTAATGTAAACACAGGCAGAATCAGCAATAGGATGGCTATTTCAGCAGCTAGCAGCAGCTGCTGTTACCATTAGTTAGCTAGTAGCAGTTAAGCTAAAGTAACTGGTAACACACAAACTCTGTAAATCATCAAAAGGTGAGGCAGAACAGCCTGAGGACATCAGAGGGAAAATTATAGAGCCTTATAGAGACAGAAGTTATAACGGAGTGTTCAGACAAGCAATTGAGAAAAATATTTTGTTTTTTGAACATTAAAGAATGTAAACATATAAATACAAGTAGAAACCCTACACTGTAAATTATTTCCAGGATTTCACAGGATGGTACTGTATATTTCACAATAAATTACAGTATTATCACTTCACAGGCTTTTTTACTGTGATATTTCACAATATTATACCGTGTTCAGAATTTTATTGTGAAATTAATGTAGGCGGGGCTGTTACAGGAAACTACTGTCAGACTTTTCGAGCTGCGTCATTTGCAGCTTTCATCTCTCTCATCTCGATAGACACAGTTAAGTGACGGTAAGTGTTGAAATGTCACATTTTGTCAACTAAATGACTTTGAAATGACATTTTGATATAGCAGTGTATGTAATTCAAGTGTATTAACCAAATGGCTAGTTGTAAGTTCTGTTGCTTTGTATGTTTTTGTAGAAGAGTTAGCATAAGTTACGTTCGCGGTTAACGTTAACTTTACTCATTGGTAGGTTTGAGCACGCAAATTTTTTAAACAAGAAATTAACAGACGTCGGTTTTAACTAGTGTTAATTCTAACGTTACTCTATGAAGTTAGTAACGTTAGCTAACTGTGACATAAGCTAACGCTTTTCCGTCTGAGTTTTCAAGCCTCGTATTTCTAAAGGTGTTATCCTTGACGTTATGTGTTAACGTTAGCTTTTCTTAGTGCTAACAGCCTGTCTTTCCCCGCTATATTTTCCCCCACAGCATTTGGTGCAGTGCTTTTTTACGCTGACAAGACGACTGGACAATGAAGTTAACGTTATACGGTAAGCTGTGACCTTAATACATTGACCGGTATTATCAACCGGAGAAAATATAGTGTAATGGATATAAGGGCAAATTATCAGTAACGTTAGCTCGTAATTTTCACCCCTGCGGTGTGTGCTGTGATACAATTATACAGAGCAGCCGTGGCCTATCTTGTCAACTGTAAAATGAACTGCGCATGTCCATTGTCTGATGGAAGTTATTTTTCAAGTAAAATCTTAACGGTCTTGTCTGGAAAATTCCACTGCGGGCAGTTGTCCCGCTGTTAGACTAAGCGGCACTCATGTTTTTTTTTATTTTTTAAATACATTAACTTAGCTTGACAGTCTGAAGAACTGGGAGGGATTAGTAGCTGTAAGATACACGTTTGTAAGTACTCTGGTTATTTCGTTTTTTTGGAATGACGGTGTTTGTATTTGTGAGCTAACGTTACCTTACCCAGCAGTGGTGACAAGACTGACGTTACAGGGCGGTAACTTAAGTTGGCTTTCTAGCTAAGTTACACACACTTTCATTTTAAGGTTGACAACCTTCGTAATTTTCTCTGGTGCTGGGTGTGATAGAGAGCAGCCGTTGCCTATCTTGTCAACTGTAAGGAAAACACAGGGTTTTTCCTGGCTCAGAACGGGCCTTTGGGGGGCGACTTTGCTCGACAGTAAGCATGATCGGTGCTCCTCCAGTAAATACCTTATGACCTTAATCTATGCATTTTCTTGGTATTTCTGACGATTTGATAAACAAAATAAATCCACAACCTGGAGGACTAAATGTGTAAATTAGTGTATTAATAAATATTATAACATTAAATAGAAAGTATAATGTCAGTATAACACTTAACCCCTAGTTGCTCCAGAGGCGTGCGATCTCTGACATGTATAGCAATTGTAAGTCGCTTTAAATGAATAAATGTAAATGTAGTTGAGATTCAGCTTTTTTTTTTTTTTTACACAAAACCGTTTTCTGATATTTTCCTATAATATTAATTCCAGTTGGACAAAACACAGTTTCATTTTTGTGGGTAGTTTTCGGTCATTATGTTATTGTGCAAGAAAAATGCTCTGCATTGTGGTTAGTCTGTCATTTTTTTTAATGCAGTAATAATAACCATACATACAGAACAACAAGTTCAACATTTCTAAAGTTTGCAGTAATTCCTCAACCTTTTTGTAATGTCCCGCCTACTCCAGGCTGTGATTGGTCGGTTCATGAAGCCTGTAGCCTGATTGACAGGTTGCCATGGTATCGACTTGTCAATCACAGATAATCCCGCCCTGAAACATACTCTGCTTTTTGGTCTATTTTAAAATAAATGGGACCATAATTTACTAAATGAACATCATTTTGTATTGAAGAAGATTTGAAACTAGCAACTTTAAACATGGATGCATGACAGGCTCCTAATCTCCCTGCGGAGATTAGCAGGCAGGCGAGAATGGGAACAGGTGAGCGTGACTGCTGGAAGACAAAATATCGTATTTAAGTTTTTGTTCTGCTTGTTTGATAAATGGCTATTAAAACACATTCGGAGGGGATTCGAAATGCTTTTTTACCCCAATTCATATAATTTTGCCGCGGCTGATTTTCCTTTGGCACTTGCTAAAACCTCTTTGGGGGGCGCCAAATATTTCTCTATGCAGGAAAAACCCTGAACACATGATTGGCTGATTGGATAATTGCATGAATAAGCAGGTGTTCCTTATAGTGATAACTAAAGTTCTTGGTGAGTGGACTGAGTACTTCATACATAACACATGATCACAATCTAAGCTTTACAAAATGTGTACTGAGGAAAAATAAATAAATCAATGGGTACAAGATATGGTAACAGTTGAATCTTAATCTTTTCTCTATTCTATATTTGCAGGTGTGTGCCACAGCCACTGACATTGAAAGGATGGTAACGCTACCAAGCACACCTCGCTTGATTGTCCAAGGTAATGTTGATGTCGTCTTAAATTTTTTTTTAATGCATTTCACACCACCAAGTCATGCTTTTGGTACTGATCTAGCGAGTGTCTCTTTGGCTGTGCACACTCATCTGGTAGAACTAAACTTTTGTCCTTCATCCCTAACTTCCTCAAAAACATTATCCCTCCAGCTCTTAATCTCCTCCTGGCTAAATCAAATTTTCTTTCTTTCTAAGAACATTAACTAAGAGCATATACAAATATTTTCATAACTTCCCTTTAAAGAAAATTTATTTTATTCTTACCCCAAATTCACACAGGGAAAGCCTGCACCATATTGAGGTGATCTAGTCAATGCTTGTGTTCACACCAGACGTGCCTCAGCGTGTCCCAGAAGCAGCTCTCCACTAGTATGGTCTTCCATATTCTTGATTCCTTTTCATTAGTGCCTGATGAGTATATCTGCATAGATGCTGTCTGCGGAGGGCCTAGTGGTCATGGGACTTCACCAGTACTTCGTCAGTGGTTTGGCTGTTGTTTTTGCCAGCTACTACAATTTAAATTTGAAGTATGCTGAAGGTGCTTCATGCACTCTGGAATTTATCCAAAGGTAAATGTCTACTTTAATATTTTGCTTGAGGGCTTGTTTAAAGTAGTAATGTTTGGGTGTTGTTTGTGAGCAGCCCAGGACCACAGCAGGCAACTGGTAACGTGCCCCCCTGTTACCTCTCAAACGAGAACTGTATTATAGACGTGTACTGTATGTGACATGCACCTATGACAGAATGACAGAATTGTTTGCACTTTGCATTTGCCCGATTGGGGGGTAGCACCCTCACCCTATATAGCCCCCAGTGCATGCATTACACGCCCCTCTCTGTCAATGGCACAGGCTAGTACCACTCAGGCTACTCTGCCTAGGTAAATCACACACCTGCACTTTGTTGATTGAAGTGTTTGTAATGAAAATGGTTTTCAGTTACTGTTATTTTAAATGATTGGTTTTTATCTGAACCACAGTAATGTCACTTTGTCCAGACAACAGTCACTGCTGTCATACAACAGCAGTGACCCACTGAAAGCTGGGGGGACTGTTTGGGAAATCACCTTTATCATCCTACCTGAATGAAACTAACGGCTTTCCGGTGTTTGTGTTTATAGGTGTTTTGGGGCATCAATCCAGAGATGGGCACAAAATCGAAGAGACAGCGAGGACAAATCAACCAGCAAGTGTGTACACTAATCAGGAAGCTCATTGACTTTAAGTGGATGTCAAAGTAGACAGTGAAAGGCAAAACATGAATACAGCATGAGGTTTACGGTTTTATAAGTGTTTTTAATATTTCAATGTTCTGTTTTTTAATTGATTCATGTTAAACTGGAGGTGAAAAATGTCTTTAAAATTCAATTGTATGTATATTGCGCAAATTTTTTTAAGTGGTACCAAAGCACAAACCGTTTGCAGCTTTAATTATCAGTTAATCTGCTCGATTAATCAATTAACTGATTAGTGTATAAAATGTCAAACATTTTGAGAAATGCTCTTTTTACAATTTCCCAGTGCCCAAAGTAACATCAATGCAGTAGTTGCACTGTCCTGTAAAGTTTATATAAAACTGCAAAATAAATGTGTAAAATAGATCATGGTTTTGTGTTTATTTGAATTTAATCTATTTTTTCAAATATTTAGGTTATTGATGGGTTTATTGAACAGATATAAATTGTGAAAAGGTCGAATCTACAGTATTGTACAGATTGTAAGTGTAAATTTATGGCACATTTCATTAGTATTACAGTGTTGTATTTCTGCAGCAGCAGCATACTGCTAAATCACAGTACTAGTCATTGACTGTGAAGTTACAATTGAATATATTGAATCTAAAGCAACATACTGCTAAATCACAGTACTCTACTGGCATAAATACTGTGAGATCACAGTATACAGCTGTCATTTCACAACAATGAATTGTAAAATGATACAGTAACATACTGTGAAAGTAATGTAACTAGTTCCCAGTAATTTATTGTAAATTTACATACAGTAACTTACTGTGAAAGTAATGCAACTAGTAGCCAGTAGTTTACTGTAAATCTACAGTCAATTATTTTACTGTGTAAATATGAGTATGAACCTGAAAATGAGTATTCTGTGGCACCTTTAAAGTTTCGTGTTTCACAAAGTGTTTGTAAAAACAGTTCAATTCTGTCAGGGACCTTCCACATACAGAAAGAAGAATAAAGTAAAGAAAGCCCCAATCAATTGATGAAACTCAGTCTGCTGAAAAAAGAGAGTGGAAAACCATGGCACTTGCTGAAATGGCAGCCTGCAGCTGGCAAGAGTGAGGGGGGGGAAGTAGGAGATTTATGGTCATGCTGGCCCAAATGGAAACTCACTCTTGATTGACCACTTCCAATTGAAAGCTGACCTCTAGGTCAACATGGAAAGATTTCATCAGGTACTGGGGTTTCAGCATGTTAGACAAAAGTGAAAAAAAAAATGTGTGCAGCCATCCGTCTTGATGGAAATGATCCTGCATTATCATTTCTCTAGAAAAAAAGGACACAGGTTTTCATAAAGGAAACAGTTGGCCTGCAGTGCAATGCATGGGCCTGTCTAAGAGGTGGTTCAATACTACAATACTACAATCTACTACTGTGACAACCCATAAGTTAACCCATGACTTCTAAGTCAAAATAATTTACAGATTAGATTAGTATCATCAAATAAATATATATTTCTTGTTTTTTTCAAATGTGTCCAGGTTTCAGAAAAGAAAAGAAAAGAAAAACAAACACTAGAATATGTTTTGTCTCTGAGTATAGAGAAAGATGCAGAGCAAGAGGGTAACTGAGTCGGACAGAAAAGGAAGATGATGAAAATGCCTCTGTGTGTTTATTGTTGTGCTCGTCCAACATTTGCTCTGCATTTTTTTGCACCAAAGATTTTCCTTCAGTAAATTATTCTCTGGTAACCAAGGACATTGTGTTTACTGATATACTTTAGTCTCCAAATCAATTTTTCAACAAGTCCGTCATCAAAAACAACTTAATTGATTTGTCTGTTTGTTTGTCTTCCCCATGATGTTTGCAGCGTTTTCACTTGAAAAGAGGGACAGGCATCGAGCGACAGAGCAATGAGTATCTAATTCATCACTCTCCGCACGACTTGCCTACAGGGCCAGTTTAATTTATTTTCACTTCACCACTTTGAAAACTGTTGGCTCAGGCTATTCTAACATATTCATAAATCTTCTAAGATAGGCTCATGGCTCTTCCAAGATAGGCTGTTGAGGAAACCGGAGAAAGGGAAAAGAGCGAATGCTTGGGTTGGGGATTGAAAGAAGCAAATTAGTTTGCTTTTGTTTTGGTGCTAATTTATGACAGCCATATTGGAGGTGATTGGGTCCTTGCTAGGTAATGGCTTGTGGAGGTTCCAGGGCCTTTTATCTTTCTTTGTCCTGGTTAATATATGTAACCAATTTGCTATTTTCAAGCCCAGGTTTTCTACTGGATATCAAATTACACAAACAATATTCCAATCTTCTGCCTAATATCATGAAAGCCCCTGCTGTTTTGCTATTTAAACATTACCACCAATTCAAGTAAGGGAATCAATGCTAAATACTAACAGGTGGCAGGAAATATTAAAAGAAAATTACAAATGGGACTACTTCATCCCTACCACCTGAAACATACTGTATAGTAAGAGTTTAAGTAAGCAATGAAACCACTGACCATTTAACTACCACGTGCTAATTCCCTCTTTCATTTAATTCTCACCCCTCAATAAGCTTTTTTTTTTACTTCTACGTCCCAGTGGAGGCAGAAAGTGAGAATCCAGCCAAAACCAATATCATCAGGTTTCTACGCTTTAGCTTGCACAGAGGACAAACAAACAAAGAAGAAATAAATGTGGGTGGGGGGGGAAATGTATTGTAATCCCAATTGGCTAGAAAAAGCTAAAGTGTGGATTGATTCAGGCTGAACTTAAAAGAATAAACAAACCAGATGTCTATGTTCCAATGAACCACAGGATCGATGAAAAATGTTAGAGTGTGCTCACATTTATGGCTTTTGCTACATATGCAGAATATGACTTTGGCCCAGGGGATGATTTTTAATATAAAATAGTTTGATAATAATGCTCAAAAATATTACTGTGTGCAAGGTTATTCTGTTGGGTGCCAGCAAAAGACTGGTTTAGGATCAATGAGTTCCTCACTCTGCTCATAACAGATCCTGATGCCTGCTTGTACTGCATCTAGCTGCCAATAAAGATGTGCATTTAGTATGCACTCAGGCACTAAACATGCCAAAATGTAAAACTGAAACCTCCACAGTCATATTAGGCTCGAGCAATGCAAAGTTTCATGTTTAAAAGATCAAAGCTTTGCTAAGTCATGCATGAAATCTAATGTGAAAAAATAGTTCTAGTGCCATCTCTAATTATGATGATTGTTGGGGGGAGGGTGAGAGTGGAAGGTGTTAATTTACCAAACATTATACAAAGCAAAACTGTGGGAGAGAAGAGGATCGAATTTAAGCTTTGATAGGTAGCTCCCTTGATGTCAGAGTCCACTACAGCATTCTAATCTAAATCTAAGTGAAAGCAGAGGGAATATCCAGGGAGTGTCATCTCCGCATTGTGTTATCTGTGGCTCACAGCCCCGGCAGCTCACAAAGAGCGGACCACAGGGGTGAAAAGGAGAGAGAGAGAGAAAAACATTCCCTTTTGAAAATTCTGTTATTTTGGAAAGACTACTCTAAAGTGTCTCCAGGAGAAATTTGACCACTGTAGCTTGCTTCTTTCTTGCATGTTAATTTAAACCAGAATGCTGTCTATTCTAAAGCTATTTCCACCAAAGTGAATCAGTAAAAAATGTTTGGTTACAGGTTTGTAATCATTTTCTTGTGTATATTTTCTAACAAAGTTTTGCACTTATGCCTCAAGGTAGATAAAGTGCTGAGGTTTGGAGTGAAAAAAATAAAAGTGGGAGAGAATATGGCATGATTAAAAGTTTAATTAGAAGAATGAAATGGAGTGGGTTTTCTATTACTGCATCCTTGTTGTAACTTACATGGTGCTGCATACTAATATGATTCCCTTATTTAATTCATAAGCAATTAAAATTGCTGGTCTAAATTAGGTTTTTATAAGTGTATTCATTTCCAAAGGATGGAGAGGGCAGAGCAGCATGATACATAAAGCATAGTTGTTTTACAGTTGGTCACAGATAATCAGAAACTACATAGGGTGTCCAAAATATGGATCACCTGTCTGTACAGTTTAGACTGAGTGGAATTATACTTTAGAGACAGAAAATACCAAGTGGCCAAATGAAGACAAAAAACATGACTAGAGCGGAAAAGTCAGTTAAGGGATAGATAAAGCAACATGGTGAAAAAGTTTCAAAAGAACATTTTAGAAACATAAATTGAGATTTAAAACAGGTGAAAAAGCTAACATAATGTTCTTGACATGGCTTAACTTGGCTCACTAGAAGTGGCTTGAGTACAGTGGGATATCACATGCCATTATGACATATCGACTGAATCACACAAACAGAAAAAGAGATGTGCAACACTGTATGTGATTCTGCAATTACACCCTCGAAAAGTAGAATTCAATATTTGTTCGCACTCACGGTGATTTAGACAGCTGTCTCAAAAATACTTTCTTATCCACCTTAAGACAGCAGAGAAAAGAGAATGTATAGAGAAGATGCTACACGGAACTGCCATAAAAACCTAAAAATCGAAGTGCAATAAAGTTGTGTAAGTTATTTTCCCCAAATGTATTCATCAGGACTAAAATGTAGTCAAGTCATCGGTCAGGCAACACTTCTACTTGTTTATTCTCACTCAGCTAGTGTTAGGCAGCATATTGTGTTCCAACTACATTTGCTAATCTCTCAAATTTTTGTAAGCCAGTGAATATTTTAGACCAATTTTGTAAGTACAGACATTCTTTTTCTTTACTTTATGTCACAAATGGTTTGGTTAAAAACACAAGGTCAAAGAGGACATAGATGCACTTTTAGATGCAATCTTGTTATTTCAAATTCAATTCATCAAAATTTTTCCTCCTCAGGATCACAACTACAAATCATCTGGGAAAACTATCTCCAAGACATCAACTTTTCATCAGCATACATTTTCAGATAACCCAGAGCGGTTTATAAATGGTTTATTCATCTTAACAAGCAGGAGATTTCCATTTCAAATCATTATGGAATACTTAATCTTTCAGTTTATCTAATTATTTTTAAATTGCCAAATGTGGAGATACATGGTTTTCCACAGGATAGCAAAGATATGTAATGTGTTGCATAAGTGATTCAAATCATTGAGCTCACAGTGTGAGCAAAATGAACATAGATATCCACCGATCAGCCATTACATTATATCCACTGAGAGGTGAAGCGAATTTCACCATGGCACATGTCAGTGGGTGGGACATATTAGGCAGCAAGTGAACATTTTGTCCTCAGAATTGATGTGTTAGAAGCAGGAAAAATGGGCAAGTGTAAGCATTTGAATGACTTTAACAAGGGTCAACTGCAGCTCTTGTCTGGACCACGGAGCAATGGAAGGAGGTGGCCTGGTCTGATGAATCATATTTTCTTTTACGTGACGTGGATGGCCAGGTGCGTGTTCCTTGTTTATGTCTCGTGCAGACTACACAACTTTTAGCATCGGCCGATGGCTGTGCTGTTCAGACTACACAACTTGCCGTCTTGTGACAGGAGTCTGAAGTCACTGTGGCATTCACACAACGTGACTGACCGGTGACACACTATGCGAGCTGACAACGACTCTGTCACCCGACGCTGGTCTCCAAACCACGTTTTGTCAAGAAAACACACGTGAAATGTGAAATGGGAAATGACGCAAACCTACACACAAACATGATATTATAAAGATACCAATTATAAAGACAAAAAATATGGGTGAAAGAATGGATTAGCACATGCAGGTAGCAGGGATTGTCTGTGATACAGAGAGAGCTGGAGGTGAGTAAAAAGTGTTTTGCGGTGAAAAGTAGCTGCCCGCTGTCATTGGCTGGATATGGATGTCCAGTCGGCCGACTCTTCCAGATATTTGGCATGCTAGATTTCTGGCAGACGTCGGCGATGTATCAGAAATGTGTCAGGGAACCGTTTTGATGCGTCGTTGAGTAGTTCACACATAACAACTGGTGACCGCCGATCAATCACTGATTTTCCCCTGATCACCCCAATGGTCACCGAGCTCACCGACCAGCAAATCAGGCTTAAAATTGTGTAGTGTGAACTAGGCACCAGGAGGATGTACAATAGGAAGAAGGCAAGCCGGCGGAGGCAGTGTGATGCTTTGGGTAATGTTCTGCTGGGAAACCTTGGGTCCTGCCATTCATGTGGGTGTTACTTTGACAACTACCACCTACTTAAGCATTGTTGCAGACCATGAACAACCATGATTCATGGAAACAGTATTCCCTGATGGCAGTGGTCTTTTTCTAGAGAATTATGTGCCCTGCCACAAAGCAAAAATGTTCCCCACATCTTAATTAAACCAAGCATCTGTGAGTTGTGCTGAAGAATACAAAGGTTATTAATTAAAGACAAGACTCTAACTACATAAAGTCCGCATTGTAGAAAGAAGCAAATACAAACTAAAAATTCAGACAGAATAAAAACTGAGAAGTAGAAAACATTAAAGCAGTAATTATACAAAATATCTACAAATACATGAATTCATTTCCAAGAATAATAAAAACAGCATGCGAAAAATCCAGTAAATATAGCTATTTTATTTAAAATAATAAAATATTGTATTTATAGCTGAGAGGTGTTTCTGTCTCTGCAGACTTATTGCTTAATTTAAATGTCATCACCCAGTTGTTTTTCCACATTGTGATTTTTAGTTCCAGGATTTTTATTTTTTTAAATTAGTTGATTCCTAAAATGTGGACACATGGATGTTGGAAGCCTGAATAATTTTAATAAATAACTGTCTATAGACTATGGACTCTATTTGTATGGCCATGCTAATTCCCTTGAGAGCTCATGATTTGAAGCGCCTGTCCTACACACTACATATATCTCTCAGAAGATGTGTAATGTTATTGTTTTATCATAAAAAATGTGTGCAGAATATGTACAAATAAAATACTTGTAGTAAAATATATTCACCTCTCTCATCTTTACCTTTATGTATACCTGTGAGCCAGTGATTTCACTTTAGTTTTTAATTGATTGAACGCACCAAACAAACAATAAATATTGTGTTCAGTGACTGTAAAATGAAAAACTCTACAATCAACTAAAATGTAGCATGATGTGCAGATTTTGCTAGTATTACTACTAGTAGTAGATAGTGTTGCCAGTGATCTGTGATCCTTATGTGACTCCTCCCCACAGTTTAAATGCCAAACGTTAGCATTTTAGCTAATTGTCTGGTAAAAGGTCAATAGGCATTTGAAAATGAGACACATGGTGGGTGTTCATTAGATGTGCTGAGAGCTGTTAGTAGTTATAAGAGCAATCCTGAGCCCGGCCAATGTCTTTCTCCTCAAGGGATAGTTTGTGAAGTCCATTTATGGCGTGTTGTCAAAGACGAGGACAATGCTCTCAAAGCTGTTATTTTTGGGCATTGACTGTAAAGGCCAGTCAAGGGATACAGCAAATCTGTCAGGGAATGTAACTGTTTTGTATGAATAAAAGGAGATAAAGCTGCTTTTGGAACCACTATGAGGTTCACAAGTTGTTCCAAATGGCTCATCCATTAACTTGCAAATGTCTACATATCTAATTATTTTAAGAGCACCCAGATAAAGGGAAAAAAATGTTGCTGAGATGGTGCTTTATACCGTTCATCTGTGGAGTGTATGTATTTTTCTAATCACACCATGACAAACTCCACACACCCTCTGAATCTGCAACCTCCACCCTAGTGGCTGCACATAACACCTTAGCAATATCTAACAACTATCTGGAAATGTCCCGACATCCACCCTAGAAATTACCTGGCCATGCCCAGCCAAACATCCACACCACCATTGCAGTCTCCTACCAACAACCAAACTGAACAAGAAACAAACATTTTTAGAGCAGAAGACCATTGGAGCAAAGATGCAGATCAACCCAGAAATAAAAATGATTAAAGAAGTTTGATTCTAAACGAAGCCGTTTCAGAGATAATTGCAAAAACGCAAAGTTGATTGATATAGCGCCACCATGAGGTCTATGAGGGCCATTTTGCCTGAGTAGTGGGTGGAATTTGCAACCTACGTGCCAATTTTGGTGAGTTTCCGCCCTGCAGTTTTTGCTGCCCAAACACTTTTAGCAGAGAAAAAGAAGAATGAAGAAGAATCAGAACAAAACCAGTAGGGCTCCGATTAAATGCTTTTTTGATTTTATAAAATAATTTGGAAATAAATACATCATATAAAACATGCACAAACACCACATGTACACCCACCATGTTTCATGACTGGGAACTTTCAAGTGCATGTCATTTTGAAATTTCAAATGTTGTTAGATCCTGTTCTGCTGTACTGATAAACATATCAGAGTAAAGACTGTTTATGTGTTTCTGTTTCATCTGCTTGTGTTTGCTGACACAGAGGGAAAATGGCCTATGGACATAGCCTCATGTCTCTAAATATAAGTGCATATCTTTTATAAAAAGAAAACCCTGGTGATCTGAAATAGTATTGAGTGGCTTTATTTTGCACTTCCCTGTAGAGTTAGAAAAAAGTAACACTTTGTTGAAGCTGACTGTATTGCATGGGAACAATAGAAAAAATCAGAAGCATTAATCATACCAACATGAGATCCTGTGCGGACCCGAGCCTGTGACCCAAGTGAATGGAGAGATTTAACCTATGCCAATTTGATATGTGCAGGAGAACAAATTCATTATAAATGCACTAGAGTGGCTTGGTATATATGGTTCACCGAGGGATTAAATAAGAACTATTGCTACACTTACACTAGTGTTCGTGACAGAAGGAAAAGTGTAGGGTGAATTAAATGATTGGCTCTCATTATGAATATATTTGAGCAACAGAGACCTTAAAAGCTACCCATTGACTACATGCCTCTTCATGGGCTGTGTGAAGTGCTATCACTTTGAAGTGCACTATGAAGGGCACTATGATTGTTGAAGAAGTTACACCATCAGCTGTCTTTCAATTAAAGGGAGAAACGATAATTGCTCTTAAAAGAACGCATTTTCTAGAGAACACTCAACACCTCCCCTCATCCTTCGCCCACAAAGAAAATGCAAACCCCCCCCCCCCCACACACACACACACACACAATATAATTTGGCCTAATGCAAAACTCTAAGTGAGAAACCAATCAAAAAAGCTTTTCCATTCTTTTGGGGTCATTATCTAGCCAAAAGAATGAATCTTTCCCAGGCCTGTCATCTATCAATTGGGTGACAAAACAGTCTTCAAAGCACAAAGCTAATACATTTGGCGCATGACAATAAAGCTTTTCCCAAAACCTATAGAACCATTTGAATAAGTGGCAGTGAGGACTTAAAATTGTTTCTTTGACAAACCACTTAGTTCTCTGATTTTAGAGGATGAGTAATGATCCCTTCAGAAAGGAAAGAGGGGGTTGGGGGTGGGAGTGTGGGTTTGATTGCCTCTGTGATTCTCAAACTGGTTTTAATAACCTGTGTAAACTGGAATAAAACAACAAAGAACCAATCACTCTATTCAAACACTTGACCACAGTTACACAGTCTTTCATCATTCTTTTCCCCCAGTGTCTGTCACTGCAAGCAATTCCTTCTCTTAGGCTAATTATTAGTTATGTCAATGTTAAGACAAGTATTTTTGCTTAAAAGAACAGGACCGGTAATGGGTAAAGGCTGCTGTTTGCATCAACTGACATATGATCTGTGAGTCAAATGTCAGTAGATTTCTCATACTGATGAAGCCTAATGAAAGTGACTCATTTATGCGTTGAATACATTTTTGAAAAATATTCTGATGAGAAAAACAAATATATATATATATATATATATATATATATATATATATATATATACCCTGATATATATATATCAGGGTTTTGGTACAACAAAACTATTGCTCACTGTCTTATTATACATTTTACCTTCATGAAGAGTTTTAATTTCTGCTCTCATGTCTGAATAGTTTGTACAGTTCAAACAACTGTTGAATCTGGGCTGTCTTTGAAGAAAGCTGTGAGAGCTTAAACACATGCAGACATCTATCACCACAGAGAATTGTATTGCAATCCCCAGAGAGGATTGGGGAGCAAATCTATCCCGGTCCCAATTAAAAAATGCATTGACATTCAATGCTTGAGAAGGCCCAAACCAATTCCCTTGTCCACCTAAGAGCATTTCATGCTATTAAGCGGACAAAATCTTCTTTAATTTTAGAGGCCCAAATGGAGTTTGAACCTACTGCCCTGTGATGTCCACCATCATGGGACAGCAAATGAAAAATATCGATATGCTGGGTTTGTTTACCTTGCAGATGAAGCTTGCTCTCAGGGCTCTGCAGAAGGATCGAACTAACTGAGTCCAGATTGTCATAGCTACTGCATCCCAGTGGCCCCGTCCGTGTCTCTGTCACCTGCAATAGAATTAAGTCTTAAATGAAAGACACATTTGAGAAGCAACAAATGCACTTGTGGCGTGTGTGTGTGTGTGTGTGCTCATACACACACACTGTTCTCAATACTCTGTTGTGATGTATTACAGCACACCAAACAAAACTTTAAGACAACATGCAAAGTTAGGGATCACAAGACCCACTAACCATGTCAGCTGGTGTGAGACTTTAACACCTGTTCCTTACTGCTGTCAGAGGATAACGTAACAATCATTAGGAAATATTCTTTTTTGATTGACTTAGACGTTCAGATGTGCTAATTGCACTGCGTTCACACTAGTATATTAACACCCTGTGGCCCACAGACAAAGAGAGATTGTGCAGTGACAGAATGGTTTGAGACAGGTTCTCACACACACCAGCCTAACGTGAGAACTAACTGTCTCACTCAGAAGAATGCTTAATTAATTGCACTCGGAGAGCGTAAACCTTCACTAAGGCCAACAGTCCAGTCTCCTATGATATACAAATCTTCAAGTGCAACCTCTATATATTTCTAGATATATTTCCAAAACTATTACAATAACAGTATGTCAAAATAGGGTTGTGCCTAGCTGAAGACTCATCACCTCAACTGTGCATTTATGATGTACTCCTCGCATGTCAGAATATCAGGAATTCTGGATTAATCTAGATAAAATCACATACCTGACTGCTGATTTTTTATATACCTGCTGTATTTGTTTCTACAGTGATGTCTGAGGCTGTTATGCTTAGTTCTATGTTTAGTCGCAGCACAACATTCACTTTACCTACGGCGGGTTTGTGCATGAGCAAGTAATTCAGTTCATTTTTCCATAGACACTGATGTTACAACAGACCTATCTCGCAATGTTAACGGAAATATAATGCTCCAAAATTTTATTGGTTCTTCCTTGACCCATGGTATACCTTTCCACCAAGTTTCATGAAAATCAGGACAGTTGTTTTTCCATAAACCTGCCGACAAAAAACAGTGCTGAAAACAGGGTAAAGGCCCACTGCAATGTTAAAGTCATATATTTATCAGCTTGAGGTTGAACTAATCCATGCTTACATTTAGCCAACGTGATACATCTGTGTTAGCTCGCCTGTCAGGCTAAATCAACACTTTGACATAATATCGGTGGCACACAGGATAGTAATATGGACCGCGTTAGCTGGTGAAGTAATGTGGAAAGCAAAACAACTGAAGTATTTTGCACCGGATAACGTTAGCAACTGCTCAGCATTGTCTATCTTGAGCCAACTAAAGCACAAAATCACAATCTATTTCCCATTCTTTGCAGTAATGTTAGTTTACCTGTCCAATAGGATGAAAGCATAAGTGGAGAGTGGAGTAGCGTGGGTGCATGAGGGTGGCCGACCCAGGGCCCATACTCTAGCTGATTATAATGGACACGAACTAACAACAACGGAATATGATGATACACTGTACCCGGAGAATTCAGCAGCTCTTATCAAATGAAACAGTCTCTTCACTCATGGTTTCAATGGTAAACCACCACAAGAACGACAATTACCAACAAACACATTAGATTCTAAGGAGATACGTTTTAACTTTAGCTCTCATAAAGTAACATTTGTATTTCAAACAAATGGCAAACTTATTATCACATTTTAACAAAACTCCCTTCACCCTCATGCATCATGGTAATTCTGAGGGAGGTGTCAACTTCCACTGGAAGCCTCTCAGAAGCATTTCAGCAGCGAAGCGTGTAGCTGCCCCACATTAATGACTTGTTTTTAATTGTCCTTTTTGTGCATTCTTCAAAGCTCTCTGTGGCTCGCTTTCCTTTCTATTATTGACGGGTGGATCTAGCAACTACCACAGGAAGCATTTCAGAATATGAGCTTTTTACCTGCCGGACTTTTTGCCGACACGTTTCGATTTTGTTGATTTGTTGATTAGTGCTTGCTTTTTGTGCTTTTACTATGATTAAGTAGGCTACGTCTTTATTGTAGATATATGATCGGAAGTCTGTAACGGTATTTTATTTTGAAAATTGAAAGTTTCTCTGCCGTTTGTGTGTCTGACTTCCTGCCCAGTTCATCTGCGCTGTGCTGCTTGACGCTGGGACGCTTCCTGGACGCACTCAGTCTATGGACGCACTGCAGCACTTCTGGTGTAAGCAAAAACATTTAGTAGAAAGGCTGCTCCGGCAGCAGCGAAGCAGATAGACTCTGTGGACTTTCGGAGTGAGTCTGGAGTCATGTAAACTTGGTTAATATGTCTTTGTAGCAGGTGGGCCCACGATGAAGCTCCGCACTGTGCTGACATTCTAGCTCCGCCCCCGAGTGAAAGCCGACACTGGGGCTGGTTTTGTCGGTCCCAATACAAAGCGGCGGTCTCTCTGTGACTCCAGCCTTTCTAATGTTGACTGTTTTCACCCAACATTTCATTTTCGTTTTGTCTGATGGCCTTCAGCACATAAAAGCTTGTTGTTGGTTTTTATCCTTACGTGGAGTTGATGTTGGAGTTTGTGCTGCACTGGGAGAAGGTTGTTTTAAGGTGTTAGTGGACTGCATTTCATTAGCTGCGATGTCTTGGTTGTAGTTGGAGAGAGGCATGGGATCGCGCATGTAGCTACAACCCGACCCGATACCTTCACATTAAAAGCAGAATAGTGGCTGTTACAACCAACAGAGAAAACAAGCCTGTGGTTCATCTCTAAGCAAGGTTACAGCCCGTTGACAAAAAGGAAGTAAAAAACTGATTAATTAATAAGTGATTTCATTGAAAAACTACATATAGCCCCCTTTAACTATGTCCTTGTTCCATTGCAGACGATAGCAGCTGTCCTTGTTGTTCACCCCAAACCCCTGTCAAAAGAAATATTGATGCTATTCAGATGTGAAGACGCTGTCCTAAAATATAAAGCCTTCACATTTCAGGCCTTGAAGAGGTTGCTCTTGAGAAGCTAGGAAGGGGTGAAATCTCTCCTCTTTTCAGTTGCCTTTGCTCATTAAGTTCTTCCAGCAGTTTCTAATAGTACTTTTACAAGATTGCAAGAAACCAAATTAGATGGCGATCAGCAGAGGAGATTAAGGGAGAGACAACATCAATCTCATCTGTCTTTGTTGAGCACACAAATAAAAAGTACCAATGCCATGTAGCAGACCTATAATTTAGACATGCCAATGAACACAGTAATCAAATATTTCAATTATTTGAAAGTTTTTTTATTTTTTTTCAAGTTTAGAAATAAATATTGTGTTTATGAGAGGTTTGGGAATATTGTCTTAATTATTTGTCTGTCTGCACATAGGCACTGTTTGCAGAGTAGGGTTTTTTTCTGAAAAGGACGCTAATGAGAGTGAACTCCACAATAAAGTTGCATGCCAGAAAACCAAAACAATGAGCTGAACCCCGCTATAAAGCTTTGTGGAGCTGAGGGAAACTGTATAGAGAGGTGATCATTTTCCAATTATGAGCAACCTATTTCACATACAACTAGTGCTGTGATCCATTGTTAATATCAGAACATTTATTATAGCCGCTTTAAATGAGAGCAGGAAAGCCCACAAATTGGAGGGAAATGGGGGGATAACTGTAAAAGTAAATAATACAGTGCCACCTGAGAACAGCACAAATGTTCCTAAAGAATATGTTTTAAAAACATTTGTAAGCTTTGTAAAGGAAATTACCATCATATTGATAAGATTAGAAGGCTTAGGTACAGTTGAAAGGATCCACAGGATTGGGAGTGGGCCCATTTCGGACATGCAGATGAGTTTCCAATACTTTGTTTACTCTCTGTTTTATCTGGGTGGTGATAGAGCAGTGGATAAGCCTTTGGTGTGGGAGTTCCAACTATTCCCACGGCGACACATCAAGCAGCGTGTCCGTGAGGAAGACACTTAACCCCTAGTTGCTCCAGAGAGTCGCTTTGGATAAAAGCATCAGCTAAATGAGTAAATGTAAATGTAACCCATTGTGCTCTAGGTAGAGCAACTACCCCCTTCACTGTCAGTTAGTCATACTGAACCAGGGCCCTGTTTCAGAAAGCAGGCTTAACAAACTGCGCTTATCCCTGAGCTCTGGGTTGATTGAGCCTGAGGTGGGAAACTGAATTTTCGGTTCCAGAACAGCTGATCAGAATAAGTTCAATCAACTCTGAATATGTTGAGCCTGATTGAAGCGCGTGCGTGGGGATGAAAAAAATCATCAGTGGAGCTCCAATACTACGATTCACCATGGCAACGGGTAAATAAAGGCAGATCCTCCATTTTAATTGGGTGGAGCTATAAAAATGAATGCTGTCAATGCGGACTATGATTGGCTCTAAAACACAGGAGTGGAAGAAGGATCAATGCGATCAATGTGTTAACATTATTAGGCTACTATACAACGTTGCTCATTCATCATTTACCAGACTGGAATTTCCTTAATGAATGATAAAGTGCTACAGCCCATTACATTCAATTTTAAATAGGAAGGTTATATTTATTAAGCTGTAATCCGACGGGACAAAATGCTGGTGGCAATCGGCTACCTGATTATGAAAATAGGTATAGATCAAATATAAGACACAGTTTACTCATGAACCTGTGATTGTCAAGTCACAGTCACACCCAGCAGGTTAGCCTTATTTTTTTTTGTAGTGGAAAATGTGTGTTAAAGTTTTAGACGTCTATTTTACATTAATAAAACTATTACTACTAAAACTAAGACTATCAGCAGCTAAAAATGAAAAACTCACTTTTAAACCTTATTTAGGCCTGTTTGTTTCAGCTGTGCCACAGTCATCCCTCACTCAGAAATATTCACATTATTTCCAGTTGATAACTAAGAATGTTCCAATCAGTGCGACTAGCCTACAATATGAAAGATTACTGTTCATTGATCAGTGTTATAGCATCAGTTGCCGGAGTTACTGATCTAGGGATTATCTGATCTCGCTCTCTGAAACAGAAAACCCAGAGTTTCCCTCATCTCAGGCTCAACATACTCAGAATTTTCACGAATCCCACTTTCTGAA